ACATTCCCCTCCCCCCCCGTCGCCGAACTGCGGCTAATTTTATTTGATCTCCCTGGTATTTGGATATTTTCTGGATTCGTTTTTATACGTTTCTGGATCCGCAAACAATATGTGCTCATCACCATCAACGAAAATATCGACAGATTCTCCGTTATTGGTCAAAATATGTAGAACTCTGATGAGTTCCGCGTAGTGTGGTGGTCCGCAATGTGTTTCGATCCCCAAGTTGTTGCCTGTTCATGTAGAATTACCATTCAGGCTGACTGTGTACTTCACGATGGTGCTCCCAATGTTGGTCTGAATTGGGCTCATGATGCCTTTCAACAGAACTGCCTCGTTCTGTCGGCTTTAAGGCTGGCCACGCAAATACTCAGGAAGAATGGTACATTCGTTACTAAGGTGAGCTATTCATAGGCTTTTTGGGGCCATATTTAAGTTTAACAAGTCATGGTTTTTTAGGTGTTCCGCTCGAACGATTACTCGTGCCTGATTACGACTTTTGAAAAATTGTTCAAGAAAGTTCATGTGTGGAAGCCTGCTGCTTCTCGTCTGGAGTCTGCTGAGATTTTCGTAGTTTGTGAGAAATATCTGAAGCCACCAAAGGTACGGTTTCAGGCAAGCCTTTGAATATGAAAGTGAGATAAACAAAGAAGTTCAGGTTGCCCCAGAACTTCTTGACCACAAAAAGGTGTTTTCGGAGCCCGATGGCCATGAGGCACAGAAACAGAATCCGTGAGTTGTTTTATTTTAATAACTACTGCTTTTTGCCTTGGTTAGCAAGCGAAAGCCGTCAAAAGAGTCCCACTTATCGGCAAAACCTTGCCGGTATTTGGGGCTTTGGCCGCAATGTAGGTTGAGATCCCCAGCGAGTGGATCGTGTTGTAGTTTGAGGATGTAATACGATCGCACCAAACTTCCAAATTTTCTCTCTTTACATCTCCCCCTTCCCGCTAATCACTCGAATTACAATTTTCTGCGAAAATTCATTATCTGAGGTTCAACTTCCCGGAAATGGTAGGTAAGATTAAGAAATCAGCCTGAGAGGAGCAGTATGTTAGGATGAGGAGTGTGAAGTGGGATCGTACGCAGAGGGAGGAAATTATGAAAGGAAGATTGTTTTTGCAAAATTTTCACAACAGCAGGACTCCCCGCCCCACCCCTTGCCTCGGCCACCTCAACTCCTTCCTCCTGTCGACAGCAGTATGGAAGATTGTAGATGACTGGCCGTTTATGAGTGGAATCGTGCGAAAGCAACTTCAGGCGGGGGTTGGGGGGGGGGAGATCGATATTTAAGAAATCTTCTCTTCCCCCCCCCTCCTCCCGCTCCCCTCCACCTCGAATCCTGATTCTCACGCTCCTCAGCAAATTGTGGAACTGCGGAATTGCCAGACTTGCTCTCCGCTTACTGGCTTTTGAAGTAGCTTATGAATATTCCGAGCATTCATAAGTATAACAGCGTTGCTTAGAAGCGTCAACAATGGCACACTTGCTCGGGAAACGTGAGATCCTTGTTCGAGTACCCGCTGAGACAAAGCGTTTTGCTCGTGTCTGAGCATTGTTTATAAAAGAGTCCCTGAAATTCTGCTGCTTTATTGTTTCAGTATTAACCATTACATCCTTAGTACTTTAGTCAGACTCTCCTTGTTGGGAAGAAGGAAAAGAAGGCCAGAGCTGAAGGCTATGAAGAGGGAATGCTGTCCGTTTATAAGAAAGTCGATGCCACGACATTTATTCAGACTCATGTAAGGCCTTCTCTCTTCTAGCCTTTTGGTTCAAATTATTAGCCATCTTTTTAGGATTATTTGGAACTGTTAGGTAACGCCAGTGAGATAGTTCTGGATCAGGATAAATGGAAAGAGCCCCCTGAAACAACTGAGGAGGTAAGTACCGGCTTGTAAGCAGGTTTTCTTGTTCCCGTGATGGATTTATTTTTAGATTCGTGAATACTTGAAAGATTTGAAAGTTTGTGGTCCACGTGAGCTACGGAAGCTGTTAAAGTGGAGAAAAGCAATGAGGGGAATTCTTGAGCAGGAGCTCAAGGCTCTTGAAGAGTAAGTTTTGTTGGTGCTAGTGTAGCAGAGGTCCGTAACCTACGAAAAGTTCGACAAAGTGACCCATCACACGTAATAAAGGGGACAATATACCTGTGTAATTGTCAGTGACGTCGCAAGAACGTCATTAATGTGTCATCTGACGTTATTGACGCGTCATTAACGTGTTATCTGACGTCACTGACACGTCATCTAACTCTGGGGCAGCGTCCAGGCTTCGCGATGACACGTCTCGACGCGTTGCCGTTGCAGCCGAGCTCCAACGCTATCTGCAGGACCAAGCCATAGACGTGTCGGCGCTATTCGCTAGGTTTTGAGAGAGCATAGGAGGATAGGAAGGTGCGCTTGTCCGATCACAGTCAGGTATCCTTCTACTCTTTTACTGTCTCTCAAAACGGAAGCGGCCGGCGCCGATCGA